CTCAATGCTCATGTATACAAATAGGATAAAAGATTGCTAGCATTCAGCAATAAAGGCAGTAAATCAATTTAGCAATCCTGGGAAAGTTGTGAACTAAAAGAGAAATGCTCAGTCGGAATGAACACAAACCCTTGGGAATGTATCACACTGCCAGATATTATGTATCATCAATGTTGGATGCGAGAGGGACACATCTATACTTTTTTAAGCATCTCAATGTTTCAGATGTCCTGAGTACAGAACAGGCTGTGCAACAATGGCAAGTATATAATAGAGAAGTTGGTAAAGTCAGTACTGAAGGTATAAGGCACAGGGATGGTGCAACAATAGGATTTTGTTTCCAAACTGAATACAGGTAAATAAATATACTTAACACTACGTCATATTAAATCAATAGGCTGTGAACACCACATTTGTTAAATGTTAGATTTCGTATCAAAGAGTTCTTCTAAAATAATCCAAATTTCAGATATAGCTATTTTAGGAACAAGGCCAAATCAATATACTGACCAAATAACAGGAAAAGACAATTCTGAAAATGCCAGCAATGAATACTAATTATTAACTGTGTCACAGCAGACGCATGCAAGGCTACAGAGTTGTCTTGACAACCACAGCACCAGACCACATGAATACTTCTGTTTTATATGGTCAACAGTAGGCGTCTGCAGAACCCTTTGGCAGATGTCCAGAAGTACACGATTGACGTCAGAAGGTTGTGCAATCGGCTCATCTTGGCTCTAGTCTATAAACAATGAACAAGTACTGGATAACCTATGCAATGCGGCTGATATCGTCTTTGTAAAGGAAGGTCTTGAAATCAAATATATATGATGAAATCTCAGCAAGAAAACCAGAGCAGCACAGCAACAATACAGTAAATCCCACATTTTATTAACTTGTAGCACAATTGGGGTGTGGATCCCAACATCTACAGCACATTCCAAAGCACACGCTGAACAAAACAAAAGCTTTGTGTAATTTGAGCAGTTACGCAATAGACCATGTGGAGTCCTGTAATGTTTAGTACACTCGCCTCGCAAGGATGACGGCCTGGGTTTGAATGCCGGGCGGGTGAAACCTTAGGCAAGCTTCCTTACTCCACATGTCTGTTTACCTAGCAGTAAGTAGGAACCCTGTTGTTAGTCCACAGGCTGCAGATCACCTCTGTCTCACCCCTCCCTCTCCACCTTCAAGACCCACCTCAAGACCGTGCTTTCTATCTCCCTACTTCCCCCCCCACCTTCCCACACCCCGACCCTCAGCTCAGATCCGTAGCTCTGTCTGTCCAGCGCTTTGTGACTCCTCCCCACGTGAAAGGTGTTATACAAATGTAATTCTGTTGTTATTGTTAGTCGATTGGGGGATCACTTTTTGGGTAACAAAAAAACATTCAATTGATGACTGTTTGAGGGACACTGTGGTCCGCAATTGGCTGCTGCACTTCGTCCACAAAATACAGTCAATCCACTTTAAAAATGCTTTGAGACGTCTCAACGACGTGATAAGTCACTATATCAAATGCAAGGATTATTATTATTCTCATTATTATCATCTGATTATTGGCGCCATAATCATTTCCCATTATAAAGTTGGCTAGGATTTTATGATTTTATGGATCCCATAAGCTGCATTATAACATCAAAATAGAGTAGAAATGGAAAATATTTGCTCCAAATTCTCCTTCCCCTTTCTGAAGGGATTCCAACACCTTTTTCCTGCTGCTGGAGTATGATTCCACACATCATCTTCATCATACATTTGTGATCTTGGAAAGTTTGTAGATTTGACCATAAGATTATAACAGCCGAGTCCTATTCTGTCCTCATCAATACACTTGCACCTTCCCAGACAGGGACTCTGGAATGTGGTCAGCATCTGGAACGCTGGTGGATTTTTTCCTCCTTAATCCAGAAGTGCACAATCATCTGATATCAGATAACTGACGATAGGTCAAGATTCAAACCCACAATCTTCTAACTGAGTGCTACCATTGAGTTAGTAATCCAAATTGCTGCACTGATTAAATGACAACTCATTCCAGTTTTTTTTAAACTATTTTTACACATCATGTTCACCTAGTAAATTGGATTAGACATAAAGATCAAGGCACAGCTATCACAGATATTGCAGTAATATCATTTGCAACAATTCCTTGTTTTGTAACTATGGATTAATCCAAAACAAAAAAAATAAAATTTTGCATCATTGTTGCTGAGCAATATGTTGAACTATAAATTAGAATTTTTCCCAAGTCTTGACTAATAACTACACAGATTTACAATTACACGTACCCAGTTATTTTACTAATCCAGTCCTCATAAATCAATAGGTACTTGTTCACCGAAGACAAAAGGAAGTCTAAAGAAGTGCAATTATTCTCAGTAGAATTTTGCCAAACTGTGAAAGTAATTGGTGTCATTAGCTGTTTACCCAGGTTTCCATTGCAAGTGAAACTGGGACTTCACCCTGCTGAGCAGTCACCCATTCACCAGTGGGTCAGGAAGCTAGAGGCAGCAACCGCACATCCACATTAATGGGACTGACATTCACCCACCCATTTCATCTCATGCCTTTGATACTGCTAACTTCTCTTTGTTTAAACACTGCTCCTAAAGTCTCTGCGGTATAAGAGCCATTCTGCAGATTTCATTAATCAGGACTTTGAACTCACAGTCCAGGCTGAAACTCTAGTGTAGTGCCAGAGGATTACTATAATGCCAGAAATGGTGTCCTTCAAATGAGATAACCAACAATAACTTGTATTTATGTAATGCTCTTCATACTGGGTTGTGTCTCGGAACAAATTGAGTTCCTGCCTGCCTGTTCAGGTGGATGTTAAAAAGTGGACATGAAGGAACCCAGCACAAGTCGAAAGAGAAGGGAGTTCATCTGTTTTCCTGGACCGCAATCCATCAGATAAATTGGTCACTGACTTATTCGATGCTTATAAGACATTGCTGTGCGTAAACTGACTGCTGCACTTACTTACAAATCGTCACTTCATTTGACAGCAATTACTTTTGAAGCATCTCGAGATATTGTCACTGTCGTTGTGTCCAATTCAAAGATTATTATTAAATATCTCATAACTTGTCTATAAACGTATTTCAGTAGCTTCTGTGCCATAATTATTGCAGCAAACAGTCTCCTTGAAAGTGTGCATCTCCAGATAAGGAATAGAATATTATGCATGACCTTCCATTTCATAGAAATACAAGATATTCTATAACCAGATTTCAGTACATGCACTGAGGCCGAAGTTCAGAACCTTTTTTAAAATCAGAAAATTTGGCAGTAATTTTCTATTGAAGGCAGCAAGCTAACGGGTACACATTTCCTTATATAGAAATTAAGCTACCTTTCACTGTGAGGTAACAACTTTTGTTTAACCCAAATGCATACTGATCAGAATTTCATTGTAGCTGTCAAAATGTTTTTTTTTGGTTCAGGCATCCTAAAAGGCCAAATGAAGCATTTTATAACCTGTGGAGATGACCACCTGCATTAAATGACATTATCCTTATGTATTAGTGGATCTTGACATCATCACTGAAGATGAGATGTAAACTGTGTCTGTCTGCCCTTTCAGGTGGATGCTAAAGAACCCATGGCACTATTAGAAATGAGAATGGAGTTTCTCCTGAGGTCCTGTCCAGTAATCCTCCAATAAAATTAGTCACTCACTTTATGGCTGTTTGTGGGACATTGCTGTGTGCAAACTGGCTGCCACATTTACACACATACATCCTGTGAAGCAGTTTGAGATGTTGTTCCAATGTAAAAGGTGCTATATCAAATAAGTAGAACATCTATAATAGTGAGTTGAGTCAGATCTCCTGTATGTACAGGTAACCACAGGATCTCCGACTCAGTGTTAGGTATCAATGCAAGTTACCTCTGGAGACAAACTACAAGTTTAAAATCGGCAAAAGAAACTAGAAATCAGTCCAGGAGGATTTATGGGGAAGGAATTACAAATAGCCTCATTCACTTGTCATCTCAACTGAAACAAAATCAAAAACATTTCTCTTTGAAATATATTATTAATATTAATTAATGTTAAAAGTAGAATAACCAAAGCAAATAGCTCTTGAAAAATTTTGCAACTTCTTTGTGACTTCTTTGTGAGTTGTCTGGTTTACTTACACAACAAAATTCCACATTTACCCCTTTGTATATTCTACATTATGTCTTATTTACCAATAACGCTGAGCACATCATTTTCAGTTACACTTTCATCTACATTCCTGTTTCCATTGAACAGAGCATACACCATTATGTACAGTAAGGAATACAGAAAGGAACTCTTCATGCAGGACATGTAATAATAAACAGCTGGCAGTGAGGTGAAGGGTATGATTCAATCTCAAAGTCCTGCTGTCTCAAATTGCAGCCTTGTAGCTGACAGCCAGATATCCATCATCCCACAGTCAAAAGAGACTGTTAACCAACATTCTGCACCGATGCTGGAAAACGATGATTTACAAAGAAATGCAACTACAGATAATAGTTTTCTTTAAACTGAACTACATTCACTCATTACCTATTAAGGTAGACACTTTCGCACCTTTGTAAATAAGACAGATTAAACAGTACTGCTGAGGGGGCTGAACTGGACTAGATATAATAATAATAATCCTTGTATTTGATATAGCACTTTCACATCTTCTAGACGTCTCAAAGCACTTCACAGAATATACTGTAAAGTGAACTGACTGTATATTTGTGGGCGAAACACTGCAGCCAACTGCGCACAGCAGCATCCCACAAACAGTCGTGGATTGAGTGATCAAATTATTATTATTTTTTTTCTTGAGGGATTATTATCAGGCATGTGGAGTAAGGAAACTTGCCCAAGGTTTCGCCCTGCCAGGAATTCGAACCCAGATCTCTCGCTTGCGAGGTGAGTGCTCTAACCATTGAGCTACAGAAGTCCACAATGTGGCATGGTACAAGCTGACTCGCCCACTTCGCACAGCATCTACCCGAGTACTGACCTTGTTGATATGGATCTGTTGCTGTTGGAACTGCTGTTTATGCTTCTCCAGGAACTGCTGATGTTGCTGCTGGATGACCAGCTGCTGCAAGGCCTGTGCATTCTGTGGCAGTGGTGCTGACTGTGTCCTGCCTAGTGGACGGTGCTGCCTAAGCTTGTGTATGGAAGGTGAAACTCGGTCTGGGCCGACAAGCGACTGTGGGTGAATGGGCAATGCTCCCAATCCTGAAAGATACCAGTCTAAGATATAATGCAGAAAACAGCAGGAGGAAGAGGAAAGAGGAGGAAGAAAAATGGCTGTTCAGTAATTGTGGCAACAAATCTCTTACAGCCAGCCATTTCTTACTAAAAAGGCTCTCTGCAAATTTATTACTTTATATCTTCAGATACAAATTGCAAAATAATAATTGCATCAACATAGTACTGGGCAGATACAAAATATTAAATGAATTTGTTCCCTAGTGGAAATAAGTATGTACAGTAATTGGCTAAAGAGACATATTCAATTTTTACATGCTGAGAGTCTGGCAATATTCAGGTCAACACTTTAACACACCCACCATCAGGGTGCAGCAAAGGGATGTGGTGACAAAGCCATTGCCTGAACAGGATAGGAAAAATCATGGCGAACGGCGTCAGCACATGTTCAACATGGCTGTGTGTCACCAAAAAGATTACAATCATTCATTGTCCTGGGCCAGTTACATCTTTCAACCAGAGGTTCTCCTCCATAGTCTTAATTCTATTCATCAACAGCAGCATATTTAAAAGTTCAGAACATTAGTTGGTTACATTCCTTTTATTCAAATGTATAGGCATTCCTAGTTATTCACTTAAGAAATACACCAGCTCAACTACTTTCTTCAGGAATTGAAACACAATTTTTTCCTTCAAATGTTTATTTGAAAGAAAATGTCTCCTATGTTTTGTAGCAAAAAATGTGCAATGTCATCTCTATATTATGTAGAATGTCAGATTTGAGGACTGTCCCATATTTATAGTTTACTTGAATGATAACCACTGCATTAATGACACCAGACCACTTAGATTTAGGAATGTTAGTGTTCACATTTGGAGCTTCATGTTTATTTAAAATCAGGATGTTGGATTTCCATTAGATTTGAACAGTGTCCTTTATCACATATTCAGATGGATTTAGTTTAGCAACTTCCAAAGTATTACATGGATTTGTTTATAAGTTAAGAAGCCAAAATGGTTCCAGCCTATACTGTTTTCTCAGTCATTTATATTGTGCAGGACTGAAGCAGGCCATTCGGTCCAACTAGTCCATAATTGGTGTTCATGCTCTACATGAGCCTCCATTCACTCCTTGTTCCCCTCCACACCCTTCTTCCTCTCTCATGTGTATATCTAGCTTCCTCTTAAATTCATCCACTTGATTATCTGATTCAACCTATGCTTTGGGCAGCGAGTTCCATATTCTTGCTACCCTCTGCATTAAGTAGCAATTCCTAAATTCTATTTTAGGTCCCCTAGTTGCTATAATAATAACCCTTGCATTTGATATAAGTCCTTATCATGTTTCTGTGACGTCTCCAAGTGCTTCATAGAATATACTGCAAAATAAATTGGCTATTTTGTGGGCTAACTTAAATATAATTTCCCCCGGTAAAGGACACTATGTAAATACAAGTTGTGCTTTTGTTTCAAACTCTGTCCTAGAAGAGTTTACTTATCACCTGGGACAATAGAAAAGTGCGGCAGCAATTTTTCCGCAGAAGCCGCCACAAACGGCCCCACCTGCGATAAACCTGTGATAAACCCACTCTAAATGTAGTTTATGGCCTGCGTGCTGCTCGTGCGGTTTACCTGACGTCACTGTGGGCGGAGAGGCTCCGGACGTGCATGCGCAAGTGGCAAATGGGCTACACTCGGATGCCCCGCTGTTGTGATTGTCTGTGTCATTATGTGTGTCTGTGTCTCTTCCATATCTGTGTGTATTTATGAGTGTCTCTGTGTGAATGAGTGACTCTGTGTGTGTGTGTCTCTTTGTGTCTATGAATGTGTGTGTGTCTCTCTGAGAATGTGCCTCTGTCTGTGAGTTTGTGTGTCTCTCTCCATGGCAACCCATTTTTTTGTTAAAGAAGCAATTAATGATTCTTTTTGAAACAATCTAATATTTGTTAAATCAGGAATGGGGAAGCTTAGCTATGAGGACAGGCTGGAAAAGTTAGGACTTTTCCCATTAGAGCAGAGAAGGTTATGCGGGGACCTGATAGAGGTCTTCAAGATCATGAAAGGTTTCGACAGGCGAGATAGGGAAAAGCTGTTTCCGCTGGTAGGTGTGTCTGTGACTCGTGGTCACAGTCTTAAGATATCAACCAAAAGAAGCAGAGGGGAGGTTAGAAGAAATTTTTTCATTCAGCGAGTTGTTAGAATTTGGAATGATCTGCCCGAAAGGGCAGTGAAATCCGATTCGATAACAGCTTTTAAGAAAGAACTGGATAGGTATCTGGAGAAGACGGGTTTGCAGGGTTATGGGGAGAAAGCTGGTGAGTGGGGTTAATAAAAGTCAGTTGCTCTGTCAAAGAGCCGGTACAGACTCGATAGGCCGAACGCCTCCTTCTGTGCCGTAACATTCTATGATTCTATGATTTCTTTGTTTAGTTTTTATCAACAAAGTGAAAAAGTGTAGCAGTAACATGTACCTCAATAGCACCAATAAACCCTGTAATTTTCCGAGAGATTTGCAAAGTTCCCCGAAATATTTGGCAAATATTTCTGCATGTTTCTATTGGGCCAGCGTATCACTTACCTTTTAACAAACAGTTACAAATAATTACCCTTTGGTTTATGTGGTTTATTTCCCCCCCGGCCCCCTCAATGAGTTTTGTGTATATTGTACGCAGAATACAAGCTGGGAAGAAGTCCTAGAGCCAAATAGTATGCGCGAGTTAAATAGATAGCAGTGCAGCCTGTAATCATTAACTTGAGGTGCAACCAAATGAGTAGGAAGGTTTATTTCAGCTTCCATACCCACCTTCCACCATCTGCCAGAATCTGACCTGGTTTAAAGTCACAACTGTAAATTCCATTCAGTAAAGGATTGGTAGATCTGCTCTAAGCTCCAAATACAACAAAAATCCAATGACATTCCTATACAAAAGGTAATTTCTGTAAAGCTGCAATGCATCCCAATAATATGGTTATTATAATTCATGTTGCACCCTTTGTACCTTGGAAGAGATAGATCTCAATATATGACCAAACCATTCATGACAAGACTTACCAGTTACTAATGGACTCTGTGGTGTAGACTGGTCCAGTAAAACCATGTGTTGTAAGAGAGGAGCATGACCAGTATTGGCATCTTTGTCCAATGTTGTTGTTAGGTAGTGTGGCAGATGAGTACCAGCAATAAATGAAGTGTTCAATGGGAGCCCTTGCTGGAGAGCTGGCATACCCAACCTTTCACCATCAACTTGACCTGAGACTCCCTGCATGTAAAACAGAAGACACATACATTTTTAACGAAGATAGATACTGCATAAATAATTAGAATTACTATTACTATTAGAATATCCAATTACTTTGGATATAGTTGAAATTAAATAAGTAACTGCAATAAAAATATAAGGAGTGGAACCTGAGTTAACTTAAATAATTCTTGCAATTGATATACTGTCTTATCACACCATCAAGATATCTCAAAGGGCTCCACAGGATTTACTGTAGTGGTGTGACTGAGTATTTTGTGAGCGAACTTGACAGCCAATTTGCACACAACAATGTTCCACAAACTGCCATGAAGTGAATAATAAACCTATTAAGAAAATATGTTGCGATTTTAAAAGTTGGTTTTTTTCAATACATCAAAATAATGATATATTTATAACATTTATGAAGACGATATTACAGGACCAATCCCTTTCCCGTTCGGCCCCATTAACATCTGATACTGATTAATCAAACTGCTGGTTCCTCTTTGGATGGTTTAACAAGTTGGGTGGAGGGGGTAACATTCCTGACATTTGATACACAGTTCATAGCTGGATATAAAACAGTTTCAGGGTGGTAAGTATTCTGTGCTGACAGCAATGATCACATTGTGAATTTCCTTTTTGTTCCTTGGAATCAGTTGCAGACCTCGAGCTCTGGCACAACCTGAGTTTCAATTTGAGTAGCAGCAGGGGTCAAGCATCAATTAGAATTAGTTACAAGGCAATAATCAAGTCAATAACATTAATAGAGCGGTTGAGCTGGTACCAGCTTAGGTTGGGTGCCTGGTCTACCTCCCTATGTTCAGTGCTTCTGATTGATGTCACTGATGAGACCAGGAACTTGCTGTGTTAAGAAATGTGGGTTTGAAGCTTTGTTCCAAAAATTCTGTTGCTTTGTAAGCAATAGATTCAATAAAGAGTCCCTTGCCATCACCCTGAGACTTAAGTAGTCATTACAATGTAGAAAATCTAGCAATTCAATAGCACTATACGAGTGGAGTTGTGGTTACACTGTCCAACAATCTTATGACAATGGATGTACCACATCTATTTATGAATAAATATATACTTGAATCCTGCTCAATGCCCTGGAAAAGCAGATAAGCAAAATAAACTGTAGAATAATTACAATGTTAATAAAACTAGATTTTCAATTTCAATTTCCACTTCAATGTTTCTAATATAGCAACACAAGTAGTTATGTGCGCAAAAATCTGTGTGTTTATGTACTTACGCTGGAGGGACCTGTTGCTGGCAAACCTAAGGTGATGTTGGGCAAAGATGGTGACGTATACAGAGGCATTTGTGTTATTAGGCCATCTCGGGTAACCAGCCTCTGAGCTAAGGTAGACTGAAAGGAAAAGAAGAATCAATGAATCTTAAGACATCAGGTTAAAAGTGAAGCACAAAGCTTTCTCATCACCTTTCACACCAATTTTCTCTACCACCTCGCTTTTGCTCAAACCTCTGGACTCCATGTTCTTTCTACAGGAAACAACTCCATGAGCATTGGATCATCTGGTACCTCAACCATTATTTACCTGTTATTGAGTTCTGCCAGGTATTCAGCTATTGGGGGAATCATGACTGAGCATCTCATTTATTTCCACAAGTGGGCATTTCCAGCAGCGGTCATTGGATATTCATCAGTGGAACCTTGTCCAATTCTTCTCCTCTAACTCGGGGACCTATGGCCAGCTGTACCAGCCCAATGCTACCTTGACTGAGACCAACTAACTGAGCACAGATGGGGGAAGATTGAATCTTGGACTTTTATTTATTAATTTATCAATCACCCACTTAGTCAAAAGACAAATGTGAAATTGCAGGGGGAGCTCCACTCATGCACAACCCTTTTAAAGGTGTTGAGACCAAAAGGGGGTTTTTCTATCTTCTTCTTTCTATACTAATAAAACGACAATGTCTGTCTGTGAGTCAACCAAGATCTTAATAACAGTTTGACATAGAGCCATAATCTATACCTCATTGGAAAGGCCTTGCATTTGGGAGTGTCATGGGCAAATTGTTTTTTGGGAATCTCCTATCGTTGATGAGCTACGCCCTAAACAAGCTCATCATATTATTATTATCATACATGCATGGCAGTTTTGCACTGCAGTTACAACTGGTGGCCACACCGACTCCCAGTGGTGCTGTGGCATCGTGCGTCACAGAGCATGTACATACCCATGCACACAGCATGCACTCAGACAAAGCCAAGCGGCGGGAACAAAATAAAGATGCCAAAGTGAACATCAAGCCTTTCAAGTACAAACAAAAATGCCAGAAAAAAGAAAGAATTAAATTAAATTGAAGAACAAAGAACAGGACGGCTGCATTGCAATAGCCCAAGGACCTGCCAGATCACACAGTAAACCCCTTTGGTTAGCGTAGCTTTGATAAGATTTTTTATCTTTCATGAGCTATGACACAAACAAGCTCATCGTACATGTATGGCAGTTTTGTTGAAGGTGTACACACAGTGTTTATGGCATATTAAATGGTTTGGGAGTGGTATCACTGAAATCTATATTCTCTACCGGATCCTTTGGTTACAAGCGTAGCGACAGCTTGTCATACAATAAAGATGAAATGCAGATTTGTAATTTACATCAATTGTACTCCCACTTTGCTTAGGTATGTGAACAATACCAAACTTTTTATAATCTAAGGGTGGAGAATTGTCATCATAATCATATTTAATAATGCAGTGGCTTAGAGCCAAAGTAATTTTACAATAGTTACAAATAAATTTGCTTCAAATCTACTATTATCCTGTTGATCAGACAAAAAAGGTTTTTTTTTAACCTCAATGTTCTTTCTTTTTTCCCGCCATGATTCTCTACTTTCATCTATAATAATCCTTGATATAGCGCTTTTCACGTTTCACAGAATATACTTTAAAGTGAATTGACCATATTTGTGGGCGAAAACACGGCAGCCAATCGCACAAAGCAGTGTCCCAAAAATAGTCTACCTTAATAGAACCAACTTCTACCCTTTTTCTTAGTACAAATAAAAGTACTCGAGGTGCATTCTTGTTTGTGCTGAACAGATTGACACGCCTTTTCCTTAATTCAGGGCAAACTGCTCCAGTTCAATTGAAAGGAGTAATAATTACCATTTACTTGTACACTCTGGTTTTCAGATCTAACTGATACATATCATGCATACATACAGCAGAGTCCCATTATGATGCAGCGATTGGGATGCAAAAAAATCCAACCCATTTTACAATGAAGTCACAATAGCTGGTTTAACTGAGCAAGTAGACAGCCAAGACAGCCTGTTTCTCACCCGCTGGCCAACTCCTGCATGCTTACAATGGCTGACTTTTGGGTTATTCCGTCAACATCGATGTCATTTCTTTCCTGTCATGAAGAAGTGACGTTGACATTGACATAATGACCCAAAGGTCAGACAGTCTTCAAGAATGGACCGGCTGGCTGGCATGTGTGAAGCAAGCGGGCCAGCTGCACGCACATAATGAACGGAGTCCACACAGTATTCTTATAGTACAAGCCCACATTATAATGAAACAAGTGTTATAATGGGTTTCTACTGTGTATGTATATGAATCGGAATGGGGAGAGGGAGGGCATAAACAAGAGTCTTGAATATAGGCCAACCGACTGGAGCATCATTACCCTACTGTTATTTATAGGAATAGCAATATGCAACAATAAAGTTACCTCAGTTGGTATGCTGGTAGCAGTTCCGGCTATACCATTCTCTGTAGTGATGTTGTTGGAGCTGTTGTTGGGTGAGCTCGGGCCAGATCCAGGAGCACTGTTACATACCGAGTCTGATACAAAATATAAAACAATCACGTAAAATCGCCAAGCAAAGCCTCAATTAAAAAAAGATTTAGTTTGCATTTTATACCATACAACTTCATTGGCTTCATACAACTATTAAGTGAAGGGTCAAACATACAACAACCACAACTTGCTTTCTGAATAAGAATACACAATGTTTACTCTAAAGTAAAATTATATCAGTGATCTACTTGTGAGCTGATGTATATAAACAGATATTAATACACATAACTGACATATATAGATCAACATTAAACATGTCCGGGTCCATGGTGGTAAGAAATGTCTCATGTCTCCCTTTGCTGACCATGTTACAGTGCATAACTAAGTGCAGTTTTAACACTACGGGCACTCAGTAAAACATTCAGTTCTATGACCAATAATTGAATAAGAAAAAGTAACCCACAGAACAGTACTTTGATACGGCAAATCAGGAGGACGAGAGGACAAAGGATATGAAGTGGGTTTAGGGTAAAGAAGTATTTTATTCAGCAGGTAATCAACATCTGGAATGGATTACCAGGAAGGGTGGTTGAAACCAGGGCACTGGGTTCATTTAAGAAATAGTTGGATGTAATGGAGAGCATAAAGATACTGTGTAAGGATAAAGTGAAATAGACTGAAGGGCCATCTTCAACCAAATTTATCTTGTGATATTATCATGTTGAGACACTGAGGCTGGGAACAGAGCCGGGTCAGTGGAGTCTGGAGAAAGATGCAATATAGCTCATATGCACAATGGTTAGTATTAATGATTGGCATTCTGTGCTTCAATAGTTCTTTGTTTCTGACTGAATTTTTAATACTGAATTTGAAAGAAATAGTATGAGTTCATCTGCTAGGACTGAAGCAGGGTACAACGTGAGTCTAGCTGAGCTTGAGCTGGGAAGTTAGAGAGAGAAACTACCATACACAGATTGAAATCAATGCTCACTTGTTAAGAAGATATGGTGGATAAAATATAAGTTTGCAAACCATCTTTAGTTGGAATTAACTTAGTACTAATTTAAACTATTACTGTTGAAAAATTAATTGGTATATACTGCTGAAAATGAGCATGGGACCAATCAAACAGAACATGAATCTCAGCACACAAGGTTCTTCATTACAAGGTTCTTTTCTCACAGTTTATGCTGTTACATTTAGTTCTCTACAGCAGATACTTTGTAAACAGCAAATGCACAGCCAGAGTAATGTGGTGCGCCCAGAGAATAAAGCAAAACTGGTCATTCGCCACATCATGACTGTTTGTGATACATTGCAATGCGCAATGTCTTACAACATTGGTGTAACAGTGGAAGCCAGTTAAGCCAGACCGGACCGTTTTGTCCGGGTTAACTGAAGTTCCATTACCTCTTCCCACTTAGCAGAGGAGCGATGGCAGCACCTCCTCCCTCCTATTGCCATTCCCAATTAGCAGTGGCTCCAACCATTCACAAGCGGCTCCAGGCTTGTTATTCAATCACAATTTGACTCCTCCCATTCCCTCCGTTGTTTCTTCCCAGTGCCGCCACACCCTCACTGATTGACAGCCCAAAGCCTCTTGTGAATGGCTGGAGTAGGCTGTCAATCAATCACAATGTGACTCCACCCATCTCAATCCTGGGGCCGCTCGAGGCTGAATGAAGCCGTGGCATTTTGTCTGGATCATCCAGAATGTTATACAAATTAACCGGCATATCTATAATGGGTAAGAATACAAATGAATCGGGGCCGGGCATTTGGTCCAATTTACCCGGCGTTCTGATCAGCTGTTGATCAGCTTCTGGTTAAAGTGGCTTTCACTGCAGTTGGAAAGAATACGATTATGTAGGCAAATATAACCGTTTGACTCTCTACTTCATCTCCCTTAACTCCTGAATCCCTTTCCTCAACACCACCCAACCCACCTCCATCTCCTATTGCCCCTGAAAAAAAATCTCCCCCCTCTCCCTCTCCGCTGTCCTGGAGTCATCTGAACTCCTCCCCCTCCGGGCTTTCTCCCGAACCAACTTATCCTCCTCAGTCACTCTCCTCCACAACTCCCTCTCCACCATTCTCAATGCCCTTGTTTCCCTCACCTCCCGAACCACCTCTTACTCACACAAGTCACCCTGGTACACCAGCCATCTCTGTTCCCTCAAGCAACAGGTGTGTATTGCTGAACCTGCCCCAAATCTAATTTAATGGGCTGGACCACATCAAAACTTATCGCTTCACCCTCGCCTCCACTAAATTGTCCTATTCCAAGATAATCTTGGACACGAAGGACAAACCCTGGCAACTCTTCTCCACCACCAACCGGCTCCTCCGCCCACCCTCTCACATCTTGCCCATCCTCTCCTCCAACTCCGAGGAGATGCTGGACTTCGAGGGGATCCGCTCAGCCACCTCTGCCCCTCCTACCACTTCCCCTCCCCATCACCCCCTCACACTCCGGCCCCTACCCATCCCTCCCTCCACACTTTCGAACCTGTCTGTCTCTTCTCTCTCACCACCATTATAACCCACATGAATCCCACCACTGCTCCCTCGACCCTAAACCTACCCCTCTCCTTACCTCCGAGCTCCACCTCCTTGCCCCTCTACTCAGAGACCTCAACCACCTCTCCTGTCCATTGACACCGTTCTCAGCCCCTTAAGAACAGCCATCATCACCCTAATCCGCAAAAAATCTTCCCTGGATCTATCCCTACCTCCCTTGCTTTTCTAAGGTCCTCGAACGAGTTGTTGCATCCCAGCTTTATTCCTTCCTCTCCCGCCACCCCTTATACGAATCCCTCCAATCGCGTTTCCATGCTGCCCACGGCACAGAAACAGCCTTGGTCAAAATGATAAATGACATTCTGTCCATCTGTGACCAGGGTCCCTCTGACTCTTCATCCTCTTTGACCTCTCTGCTGCTTATGATACTTTTGACCACTCTATCCTCATCCACCTCCTCTTCTCTCATCTCAACCTTCATGGTTCAGTCCATGCGTGGTTCAGATCCTACCTCTCACACCGTCTCCACTTTGTCTTCATAAACAGCTTCTCCTCCAGCCTCCGCACTATTTCGTGCGACATTCCTCAGGGCTCTGTCCTTGGCCCTCTCCTCTTCAATATCTACATGATTCCTCTTGGCGACATCATCCACAGACATGGGGTCAACTCGCACATGTATTTCAATGACACGCAACTCTATTTCTCTGCCTCCAACCTCAAATCCAGGACCATCTCTGTCCCGAGAGGATGGCTGCCAGGCATCAAGTCCTGGATGAGAGCTAACTTTCCTCAATTGAACGTCAACAAGAGCAAGATCTGCCTGATTGGCTCCCGTCAGCACCTTCACACCTCAGGCACTGGTAGCATCACTATCCATGGATACACACTCCACTTCATTGAGTCAGACCCGAACCTTGGCATCTTGTTTGCCTATCAACTGTTCTTTCTACTCCACATCCGTGCTATAACCTGCTCTGCCTTACCCCACCTCCACAACATCAGCCAGCTCCGCCAATGCCTCACCCTCAGGCCGCCAAAACCGTCAATCATTCATCACATCTAGGCTCAACTACGCCAACTCCCTGCTTGTTGGCCTTCCATGTCCTCTCTCGCACCAGGCTCCGCGACCCCATTACCCCCACCCTTGCCTGACTGTTTAGCAGGCTCTGGCCTGCTCATGTCGCCCAGCCAGCCCGCCCCCACTATCGGTGGTTGGGCCATCAGCCTTTTTGCCCCCATTCCTTTGCCTCGCTCCCTCCCTTGCATCCTTCAAGACACATCTTAAGACCTTCCTCTTCGACTGCACCATCGGCCAGCTTCCTACCCTCCCTGATCCCAATCCCGCTGCTCGGGTCCAAATCCCTGACTGTCCAGAGCTTTGGAACGTCGTCCCGACGTAAAAGGCACTATACAAATGTAATTTTGTATTGTATTTCTGCAAACAGTGTCCTTTAAACAATGAGATGAGTAGTTGATTAATTTCAGGCACAGTACAAGACTGAGTGTAGCTCAGTAAATTTAAAATCGCTCTCCTGCAAAATTCACTGAGCTACTGCCATGAAATGCAAGTTATATTGCACAAGACAGACTACTCTTTGATAATATTTAGAGTATGATGACATCAAACAACTGTTTACTGATCATAAATGCTATCAGTCTGAAATGTACAAAGCCAGAATATCTTAGGTTTAATATCCCATCTGGGCCTTATAAACAGGACCTTGGTTTAACATATCATCCAAAGGAAGGCACCTCCAACAATGCCCTTCATTGTTGGAGATACGCCGCACTGCCTTGGAGTGTCAGCCTTAACAAAGCTATTTCAAAGTTGTGATGTTGGGCTTCAACCCACAGCCTTCTGCCTCCTGAGGGGAGAGTGCTACCAACTAAACAAGGCTCCAAAAAGGAGTAAAACACGTTTAGGAAGAACAAGACATTGCAGAAATTGTGTTGAAAGAGGATCAGATGTACTGAACAATGAGGTCATGCAAAGGACTATACAGTCTTCTGTGGTAAACAGAAAACTTCATCCAGAAAGGCTTGGATGATGAAGAACCTTTAGTCCATTTGTTCACATTATTCCATCATTATAATCTCACTCCCTTTTTCATTATAGCACAAAGCTGCTTCTTAAATGAGTTTAATGTCCAGGTCTCAAGAACCCTTTCCTGGTTACCTGTTATAGCTGATCAACATCATAACACCTTTGAGACAGACTGACAGTTGACTTTTGTGCGATGCTTCTCAAGGCTTTCTGGTCTTCCATTGTAGTGGATTTATACTTTAGGCTGCCATCTCCTCTAGAAAGCATATGTGGTGTCTGGGCAAGTTCTACACCCTCTGAAGCTGCACTGGCTTCATTTGTTTTTTCAAACAGGCACTCTATCATTTTGCTTTTGATTATTGATTCCATTAGTTTCCAAATATTGAGATCAGGCTAATAATCCATCATAATTCTTGGCTCCTTTTTTTGAATGTGAAAACTACATTGGCCTGTTTCCAGTCTGTCGAAACTTCCCATATTCATTGACGCGCACAAAATAACTGCCACTGCTTTACAAATCTGTTCCCATTTTATTCTTAACTACTTTGAAGTGGGATTCATTCATTTCTAGCCCTTGAACCTATCGATCTAGCTTTCTAAACCTTCCCCTTTACTTAATCTGCCTTTTAGTTTCCTCATTAATCCATTTTGTACCTTTTTCAAAATTTAATTTGTTGCTGCTGTACTTGTTCTCCATGCCACATAGTCATCTTGAAAGATGTATATTTACCGTTAACAGATTTATCTCTGAATGGTACTCCTCAGTCTATGTCACTAAACATGGCTTTGGTGTCCTTCATGTCTGCTCACATTGCTTACAGGGGTTTGGTTAAAGCCCTCTACCATTTCCCAAGGCAGACTGTGGTTTAACTACTTCTCCCAGACTTGGTTCCAGAGGCTCTGGATTATTCCTTGGAACCAAGTCTGGTGGGGCTTCCTCTTGTGGGATTTCCTGATGCAGTGAGTTTGTGAGCAGTCAGGCACACATGAACTTAATGAACTTAAGAGTCATTTCACTTGGGAAAATTCTCAGTTTATGTTCCTACTGTTTAGGAAATGTCTCAAAGCCTCAATTTTCCGCTTGCACAGATCAGATGTCTCAACAGGGTTTTTTAATTTTCACATTTATGCACTGCTCTGAGCAAAAAGAACAACGACATTACAGGTAAAATACAGATCTAACCTAAACCTATTTATGGTCTTTTGTATTAAAACATGTTACCTAGTCGGGTGACATAGATATTTTGATATTTTATCCAAAGTGTACATCATATTAAACTGGGGAATGTTTATTATTATTTGTGGACTGCACCCACTTCACCTTTCACTCTACAATACCCACTCTGAACAAAGTACAAAAACAACAACTTGCACTTATATAGCACCCTCCATGCAGGGTAACATCTCAGAGCGCTTAACAGTGGCGGAGCCTGACTCCTCGCCGGGGGGAGGGCAGAGGTCGCCATAAGCATCGTCGAAGAGGAAAGTTTTCAGGTGGGACTTGAAAGAGGGGAGAGAGGGGGCAAAGCAGAGGGATTGAGGGAGAGTTTTTCAGCGTTTTGGGGCATAGTGACTGAAAGCATGACCTTCGATGGTGGGGCAGAGGGTGCGAGGGACGAGAGGAGGCCAGTGTCAGTCGATTGGAGGCGGGGGATGGTAGACTGAGGGGTGAGGAGGTCGGAGAGGTAGGGAGGTGCCAGGGAGTGAATGGATTTGAACTCAAGTGTGAGGATCTTGAAGTCGATCCGTTCAGTGATGGGGAGCCAGTGGAGCCTGACCAGAACTGGTGAGAAGTGGGTACGGAGTTTGGTCCGGGTCAGTATGTGGGCGTCAGAGTTATGAAAGAACTGGATCTTGTGAATGGTGGAGCTCAGGGGACCAGCAAGCTGTGTGTTGGAGTAATCCAAGTGGGAGATGACAAACACATGCATGCGGGTTTCGGCTGCATTTGGGGTAAGGTATGGTTGGAGGCGGGCAATGTGGTGGAGGTGGAAGATGGCAGTCAGGGGCCGGATGTGGGGGAGGAAGGACAGCTGGGGGTCGAACCTGATGCCTAGATTGTGCATTGGTTCAGTGAGTCTGAGGGACAGCCCAGGGAGGTTGAGTAGTGTAGATCCGCAGGAGTGAAGATGTTGACAGGAGCCAAGGAGTATGGCTTCCGTCTTGTCCATATTCAGCTGAGGGAAGTTTACACTCATCCAGGCCTTGATGTCTGCCAGTCAAGCTGATAGAACATCAGCGACCTGGAATTGCTACTGGAGGAGACAAAGTAATTTGTGTGTCATCCGCATACATTTGGAAGTTTACCCCGCGTTTGCCTACAAATATACAGTTAGTACATTTTACAATAAAACTTGTGGAGTGCTGTGAGACATCCTTCTGATACGAGCGGGGTTGTATCAAGTGTAAGGATTATTATCAATATATCCCTTGCTGTACCACTCCTTGTACAATCTTCATGGAGACTGGCTGAATTTTCTTTCTTTTTCTGTTTAAGTGCATTTGCAATGTATGAAGCCTAGATGGCACCACATATCCTTCTGCATTTGCGCAGTCAAGTAAATTGTACCCATCCCTCAAGGTACACAATACAGTAAAACCTCACAGGTAACTAGCATTATATAAACAAGTCCTTGTTTTTCAGTTTTACATACAAGAATGTTTGGCACATAGAACTGGGATATTTAATATTCATCTGAACAACAACAGCTTGCATTTGTATAATGCCCTTTATGCAGGCTAGCATCCCGGAGAGTATGTATGGCAGATGGTACCTCAGTTTAATGTCTCATCCGAAGGATAGCACCTCTGACAATGAAGCTAGGCATGCAAGCAATGCATTTAGAGTGTCAGCATTGACTATGAAATCCAAGTCCCAAAGTGAGCCTTGAAGAGATGAGGTGTCTTAGAGTGGATCTGATAGTGGTGCGAAGCATATAGAGAAATGTATGGGGAGAAGGAACTAAGATGGGCATAAGCTCGGGTGGAGTGTAAATAATGGTACAGAATTGTTGAATCAAACAACCTGTTTTGGTGCTGTACAATCTCTGTAATTCTGTCTAAATTGCACAGTTCAAAATTCAATGCCACTTGCCCTTTTACCAACAATTAGTCTCTGTAAATAGGTTAAACTGAAGCTAGTTACAAGATATTCAAAGTTGAAGAGGGATGGAGCTTTGAGGAAGGACTAGATAAACAATGACTCTTCAGCCCTTAAAAGAGAATAGAAAAGGGACTTTTTAAGGTTTACAAGAAACTAAATGGTATTGAGAAAGTAAACCTAGAACATTACTTTCAAATACACCAAGCCAGCAGGATAAGATGGTATGTCGCCATATTACCTTTTTTTCTTCTGGATAATCATTAATTTATGCCCTCTTGTTATATACAGTATTGGTCTGATTTCCTCACTGTATTCATTTAACATAACAAAACAGTTCACTGGATCAGTAAGCCATCAAAGCTAGTATCATAAATCATCTTGTGCTTACCATTAAAGAGAAATGTGATGCATGAAATAATATTCAGAGGATTCCTGAATCGATACCAATGTTTCAGACTTAATAGCAGGAAGTACTACTAAAAAATTAAACATCTCTGAACAAGTTTACTCAGTGGATAACGTAAAGAATAAATTAATCTTGTATTACATTAATTAGTTTTGACCAACAAAACACTTAATTCAAGGATAAGAAAGAGTCTATCACAAAATGGGCCATTGACGTTTAAATGATCAGTGAAAGAGAAGTGCCAACTTCAATGGTAAGAGGATCTGAGGATACAATTCAAGTTTCTCCTATCCCCCAGCTTCCCCAAAATATACAATTGTGCAACTTCCCATTCTCTTGTCCCCAGCCAAATATGGACAGGGTCCTGGGAAAGAATTCTGCTCCCAAATTTGTGCTCTGAACAGGCTCCAGCAACGCAGAAAAGAGGACATTTCTGTCTTGGACGGTCAAAAACTCAGCAGGGAAAAAGAGGAAGTGTGTTGAGGGACTATGTCCCACTGTTCTGCAACAAAACCTCGTTGATCCAACATTGAAGATAGAGCTCTGCTCTCCTCCCCTAGTTGCAACGTTTGAACAATTCCAAAAAAATCTATATATTTTGCTCTTTCCTCTTTCTTGTTGTTGAATGATAAAGTGCTGATTGTCAATGACGGAGCCTTCGTGCAGGGAGATAGCTTATCACCCAAACAGTTGAAATGATAAGATCGCTGAATCCATGGGTTGATTACTGTGTATTTATCAACATTAGTGCAGTTCTGTGTTCACTCGCCAAAGCCAGATCACCAACAAGCTTTTCAGAACCCACAATTCAAATATAATTGGACACAGAACAAAAGTGGCATGACGCATGTTTTTCAACCTTGGGTTAAAACTATTCGTGTTGTAAAGAACTCTAATCGCAACCAGTAAGAAGCTACAATGCTGCTTACTCTAGATATGTTAACCTTTCTTTTAAAAAACTACTAAAGTTTGAAAAGGATTCATTTTGAATTTGTTTTTAAAACAAATCTTTTAACGCAGGCGGGAAAGTTCCGTGCAGTGTTTTGGTGATGTCGGCCACCCGTGGGACTTTCCATTCTAACCAAGCATTGCAAAAAGCAATGTGTGTAAAGCTCAATGGAATTTTTACTCCAGGGTTTAGAGCGAGATGTCTGATTTTATAAAGGGAGATTAGGGGAAAGATTGACATACATTTGCTTCAAAATGAGTGATGTGCTTTAGTGTGCAGTTTATATATTCATAGATTGTATCATAATGTAAACTAAAGAGACAAACTTAAAGTGGCATACTTTTGCACCAATTAAGACTGCACCCTTGGCCTGTGCCCAATGTAATCTTGTGTATCAAGCCAACAAAGCTGCTAAACTTATGGAAATTCTCAACTGGAACAAGTGGTTTTGTACCACGAGTCTTGGAGGGCTGACTTCAGCAAGTGCACGGTGAATTTCAGTGTCAATGGCAGCTGAAAGGCAGCAAACGTTATAAAATTCTTAGTTTCTCTCAAAAACATCTGGCAATTTCTAACGTATGATGAGAACTGTTGGGATAGCTTACAATGTTCCCCAATGCTCTTGCACCCTCAACACAGAGATGAGCAGTTTGACCATTACTGCTCATTTGGATCACAGTTAAAAACAATAAATGGCAATAATGACTAAGTACAAAACAGTAATTATTTATTTCACCATTTGTTAAAAGAATACGCTGCAAACCATTATGATGGAAGAAATCATTACATCTTGAAACAATAAATAATTCAATATAGCAAATGCTATCACTTTTGGTGAACAGTTCTGAAGTTTACCTGGAACATCCACGGGTCTCTTTTTAAGCGTGGTTATAGCACTTCCGTCCTTTCTCCTTAGTAAAGGGCTACTCCTTCTCTCTGCCACTTTCTGCTTTAGCCTGGATCGTACCTTTAAGTTTGGCTCAGATGCTGTAAAATCATAGCAGTACATCATATTTCAGCAACATAATCTTGACCCCACTCTTTGAAACCAAGTCACTGTAAAGCAATTTCCTCTGGTTTAAATGATTCACAGGATAGCTATTCAAATAGTATGCAGCAATTTGGTGCAATTTTTCCATAGAGACATTGCAAATCTCCACCAGAAGTAAATCTTCAGGAGCTTCGTACACAATAGATAGAATGTCAGAACAACTGGAGAGATAGTCTCACAATAAACTGGCTTTGAACTATGTAGTATAAAATAACTACTATAAATGAATGCACCAGATTCTAAATTGTTTCATTATTAGGGTATGGGGGGGTGTACCCATTTCTTTAATGTTCAAAAATAACCAGCCTTTAGGCACAGGTTAGCAAAGTTGCAGGGCAAAGCCATGTATCATTCGCGCAAAGCATGGGATGGCAAGACTGCAGATCAGGTCATGTCTAGTAGGTCACCATCAGGCCATCAAACCATCAAACCTTTGTAGCAAAATGGGTTATACACTACAATACAAAATTATATTTGTAAAATGCCTTTCATGTCGGGAGAACGTCCCAAGGCACTGGACAATCAGTATTTCAGACCTGAGCTAGGGGTCGGGATTGCGGAGGGTGGAGGGCAAGGGGGGGAAGGAGGGTGACAGAAGGCACGGTCGAAGAGGAGGATCTTGAGGTGGGTCTCGAAGGAGGCTAGGGAGGGGGCGAGGTGGAGGGACTGTGGGATGGAGTTCCAGAGGGTGGGGGCAGAGTGGCTGAAGGCCTACCCGCCAATGGTGGGGCAGGCGAGCTGGGGGACATGAAGCAGGCCGGAGCTCGCTGAGCGGAGGAAGCGGGCAGGTTGGTAGGGGGTTAGGAGGCGTAGAGTTAGGGGGGGAGCAAGGCCATGGAAGGGCTTTGAAAGCGAAGACTAGGATTTTGAACTGTATCCTCTGTGTGATGGGAAGCCAGTGGAGTCAGATGTGGATGGGGGTGATAGGGTCGCTGGGCCTGGTGCAGGAGACGACACAGGTTGCAGAGTTCTGAATGATCTGCAGCTAAAGGAGGGAAGAGTTGGGGAAGTCGACAAGCAGGGAGTTTACGTAGTGGAGCCTTGATGTTATGAATGCATGTATGAGGGTCTCGGCGGCTTGGGGTGTGAGACAATGGCAGAGCAGGAGAAAGACGGAGCGGGTCATGGCACAGATGTGAGGTATGAAGGACAGCTGAGGGTCGAATAGGACGCCGAGGTTCCGTATTGCTTTTTGTGAGTCAGTTTGCCTATCAGACAGAAAGCAGGAGCCATCAGTATTTGTTATCTGTACCTATTTTAATAGGTACTCAGTTTTGATAAGAGGACTGCATTGAACAAACAGCTATGCTAAATACTTTTTTTCAACTAAAACAAAGGCTCAGTAACATACAATTACTGAAAACATACAAACATCTTGTCAGGTCAGTAAATGGGCATGATTTTCAGGTAAAATACACAAGGTCCTGGAAAACCAACACAAATCAAATCATGTTGAACAGATTAGAAATTATGCCATGCACTGAGGCAGAAATAATATGATTCCCAATGTAGTACTTCATGCCACTTAGGACTAAAGCTTTATTATACCAACATATTCAGTATATCTTTCTTCATCATTATGTTTAAGTTTGAGAAATCTGAAAAAAAAAATCTTCTGTACTGAAACATGTTCTTGTGGGCCATTAAAACACTGGCTCCCTGTCCTTTGTTTAGGTTCATTTATCCTTTAAAAAATCTGTTGGGACCCTTTCTGTATGTCGGATTGTGTTCTTTGTGCAACTTTCTGAGGAATAACATTTGGGACCTGCGAAACAGATTGCCCAATTTTGTTTTGAGTAAAAAGATCTCTCAAAACGCTTTACATAGCTGATTGATCGCCTGAACTAAGGCAGAATCAGGAATGTACCAGCAATGTACACTGCCTGTGAACGACCATCTCACCTCGGTACCAATGGGAAATGGTCTTTTAATGCAGTCCCACAGAATTCACGGAATGAAAGATATGAGAAGCTGAGCCTAGGCCATCAGAAGGACTCCATGAATACGTGCTTTGAATATTAATAACTGTCCAAGATCCACAAAAGCCCTCGTTTCCGTTTTAAACTAAACATTATCAAAGTTTGATAAATTCAAAAATTAACAACATGCATCTTAAAAGTAAATGAACAGTCTCTTAAAATCTCTAAGCAGCTTTGGTTCTGGATTCCCTTTTAATGTTTAAAAATAATTTAACTTGTACTTGAAAGAGGACATCTGCCACTCTGGTAGAATTTCCATATAGAACACTAGAAACGAATACAAATGCGCAATTTTGTGTACAAGGAATTAAGGGCAGGGTTGCTTACATTATAAATCAGCCCTCTCACTGATAGCAACATGGATTAGTTTCTATTTTAAGGTTAGGGTTCATCAACCACCTCATTTTAAATCAATAGAAACAAAACATCTTATAAATCTTGCTTTCAGTCTCCAGAATATCTACTTCTGCAGAGCGGTGAGTGATTAAAAATGTCATCCGTGCATTTATTGTTCCTTTATGTTATAATCCAAACAATAAAAAAAACCTGTAGTTTGGGTCAGTATTTGAAGATGAGATTTTGTGCACATTCTTCTCCAGTGCTTGCTCAGCTAGGCTCTTGTTTCCTCAGCAAATTACTGGTCAATTACAAGGCCCTGTGGGTCAGTGTGCATTCAGTTTAATGACAAGTTGTAAGAATATTCCAGTTGACTGTGCGTGGGCGCTGGCTAATGAATACACAGAGAGAGCAGAGTGATTGGTCTGCTGTTTGACAGGAAATGTATGTGGGCAGATGACAAAGATCACCTCTTCAACTCAAGAGACAGAACATTTAATGCTAAGCTCAACAAAGCAGCTACACAAATTACAGACTTCTCGGTGTCAACCCACTCGTACAGTTTCAGTTTCCTTTGAATTACAGTACACTCAATGGTGGAAGCTTTGTTGCTCTTAAACAGTGGTGACTTACACAAAGCCTTTAATTTATTCACTCACAAATGCGATGCTTTCATTCATTTTCATCTAATCAGTACTGTCGGTATAAAATACTACACTACTAAAATTGAGCAATAAACACAACATGAACGGCTTTCCTCATGTCATTTAAATCTTATAAGCTAACTATTAAGAAAATATACCAAAAACAAGATATTTTAACCCGTGCATAAAGTATAATGTTGATTTCACAATCAGCAATGTCAATTCTAAACAAACATTCATTCAGATTTCCCCAAAACTCAGGGAACAGTAACTTAAATATGATCAAGGAATTGGTTCATGGCCAATCTTTTGAAATAACAAAAACAATCAAATTTTATAATTCAAAAACTAAGAATGCATTCCAGAAGAAGTCATATTTTTCAAAAAAAAATTTCAATCACTATCCCTCGATACTTTCATTTCCTGAAAGTTCCATCCTTGGAATGATCCATTTGTTTCAATATTCCTGACAAGCATTACAATGTCAAGTGAGGTGCAGACTTTACTTCACATCAAACTGACAAACTAATAGAGTTCTTTGACAGAACCACTGAGGTGATAGATAGAAGAATTATAGATTTGTAGAAGTCATTTGATAAAGTGCCTCATAAGGGATTAACTAGACAAAATTAAGGTGCATTGAATTGGAGACAATCTTGTGGCAAAGATAGGAAATTAGTTGGGAAACATGGGCAGAGTTGTTATAACAAGGACATTCTCCAATTGAAGGTAAATGGCAAATGATGACCCCAGGCACCTTAGCAATAGTAATACAGCCCAAACCAGAATCTTAACAAGGACACTCCTCTTGAGCAATGTAGGATTTTTCCTTTCCAACTCAAAATAATAATATAATAATCCTTGCATTTGATACAGCACTTTTCATGTCTTCTAGACGTCTCAAAGCGCTTCACAGAATATACTGTAAAATGAATTGACTGTATATTTCTGGGCGAATTGCAGTAGCCAATTGCGCACAGCAGCATCCCACAAACAGTCGTGACCAAATTGAGTGACCAAATTATTATTATTTTGTTGAGGGATTATTATCCCCGGAAAAACAATCCACTAATCGACTAACAACCAGGTTCCTACTTACTGCTAGGTAAACAGAGGCAGGTGGAGTTAGGAAACTTGCCCAACATTTCGCCCTGCCAGGAATAGAACCCAAGTCTCTCGCTTGCAAGATGAGTGTTCTAACCACTAAGCCAGAGGACTCCAAAATAGTAGAGAATTAGACATATCAGATCACTCAGCCTGTCAAGAACTTTGACCATTACCCTGTCTAGAATGGGTCTAAAATGTGGTAAAAGGGAGCAACTTTTTTTTGTCCTTCCAGATTAACAGAATTTATATCATAAAATCTTGCCACAATGAAATACGGAGTGATATTTCTTTGTTGGTCAATTCATCAAATGTATCAGTGTGTATTGCTTACAGTTGAAAATCTATATGCTAATACCACCAGCATGGAACAGGTACCGACAAGAGGAATATCATCTCCCCTTGTACATCTTATAATTCTGGTATCGTACTGTGGATTAAGATGGATGGCTTCATTGTAGGAGCAAACATCAACATTGGTCGGAGAGATGTCAATTAGTTGGTTAAACCTGCTACACAGTATAATTGAATAAAGTACCTTTAAGAGTGCCTGGCAACACTTCCCAATTTTCTGACTAATACGACAAATATTGTGCAATATAACCATAGCAAAGGAATTACTTAGGTAATACAGGCTTTGTTTACGTTGGATGTATCCTGTACTTTAGTACAATTTAAATAGCTGAAATATATGCAGCACTGCTCCTTGTTTTTTAGATGCAGGTTTGAAACTGACGAATCACATTTTAACCCTTAACATGCATTTAATGTGCTAACTGAATGCAATTCAATTTCATTAAATAGGTAAAGTAGGTATAGTAGGTAGGTTCAGCGTTAGATATAAAGGCGAGTTTCACAAGTAGTTCCATTTCAAGGTCTTGAGCTATGTAAGATATTTCAGTCACATTAAATTGAACAGTAAACCAAAAGGGAAAACATGCTACTTTCAAATGTTGCATAAAATACACAATACTTTGGTTCATTCTGTGGCGACTGGGTGAATGTTTCAAGACCCTAAATATGATTTAAATAAAATGGGACTGGGTTGTGGTAAAAATAGAAAGAAATTAAGCATTGGCAGTTACATGCACATAATTTATCAAAATTTAAAAAGTCTAACTAAAACACAAGTGCCACTTGAAATGCTATTGGAACAGGAGGAGATCTTTCAGCCTGTTAAGCATGCTCTACCATTATAGAAGAACTTGGCACATCTGTTAATCCTGTTGCTACATATTTTCTCCATAATCCCTTAATACCTCTATTTTCCCAAGTATTTTCTAAATATCTCAATTGATTCTACTCTCTCATCTTCTGAGCCACCAATTGTATTATGATAATGTTTTCTGTGTAATGTTTTCTTATCTCACTTCAAACTGGCCAACATGAATTGGAGAACATGTCCGCCTCATTTTTGGGCTCTAACAACACAGTGGCCACCTGATTAACACAGGCTAGCCATGATATTATACAAACTCTTGTACTGTAACTTCCTTGTAGTTCACTTTCAATTGTCTATGACTTCACATAAAACTGCCAGATCTTGCAAAGATTTTGAATAATTCCTGAATGGACTTGCAACAAAGTGGGGAAATTTCATTTTCCAGCATCAAGATGGCCAAAAAAGTACCTTTTAAGGAATTACACACCTTTCTCGATGCTCTTTAATGACATTCAAAATCAACCTTCAATTTTGAAGATGTCCTTGATAAAAAAGCCAACAGACAGAGCAACTACATGCACATCAAAGGACAGTTACTTTGAATTTCAAGTGCATAGTCTCAATGTTAATTAAAAAAAAAGAACTATATGAAGATAGAATGAGATTACCTTTTAAGTAAGCAATTTTAGTATAAGCAAGTTTTCAGCAGCACAGAAGCAAGTCTCTTTAAAGAGCCATGGTTGATTAGTGTGAACAAAAAGGAAAGTTCAAAAATTAAAAAAAAGCATTCAAGTCAGTCAAAAAAAAATCTCTTTAATCTACCAATATTGAGATTCATGAAGTAATCTGGAGTGCTTTGTACTACATTACCTGTTTTTCTGAGTGGGAAGTCATCTTTGGGATCGTACATTCCTAGAACTGGGTGATTGTACGAGGCAGACACACTGCTCTGAGGTGGAGAACTCTGGTCCAGTGAGCCATGCTGGGTTTTTCTGCAGGAAAGAGAAGTCACACCAAAGAATCAGGTTGAAATTCATGAAACGTCCACAGGCACAAAATCTCCTGAAGCCCACGGGAATGCAATGTACAAACAGGAAGTGGTATTTTACCATGAGCACAAATTGTACCACAAAGCGACTACAAAGTCACTGAATAGTTGAAATGATAATTTGAAAAAAGTGAAAACTGCTGAATTGCCCAGGTATTCAAATAAAAATATTCTAAATTGGTATGATGTCACAAATTTATTTTACCTGAATAAAAGAGCAACTTCTCAAAAATGTCTACAGTAAGTCACACGATTGGTCTGTGCATAATGAGACAGAACATCTCAATAATAATAAACCTTGCATTTGATATAGCGCCTTATCAAGTCTCAGAGACATCTCAAAGAGTTTCACAGAATGTGAAATTGTCTGTATATTTTGTGGGCGAAATGCAGCAACCAATTGTGCACAGCAGTGTCCCTCAAACAGTCGTGGACTATGTGAACAAATTATAAAGCGCTCCCGCCAATCAACTAACAGCCGGATTCCTACTGCTAGATAAACAGAGGCATGTGGAGTAAAGAAACTTGCCTAAAGTTTCGCCCGGCTGGGAATTGAACTAACCACTGAGCTACAGGACTCACTACAGCTGCAGAACTCAAAGGTTCAACTTGCAACTTACTGAAACATCAAACACTATTTTGTATTTTATATTCCAAACAAGAACTGGAAACACAATGTAAGCAACATTGTCTTAACTATTTATTGAATTGCAACACTCCAACCAAGTTTCAAAGGAGAACGACATGCAATCGAAGCTCGGCATCAGTTGATTTTGGAGAAAAATAAACTGATATATTTAGACAAGAGACTCATAAGGCACAGGGATGGAAAAGGAGCAAATCCCCTTCCTCTCTCCTGACAATGTATCTCAATCCAGGAGCTGATGCAAAATGCAGTGCCCACTCAAGAAAAATAATTAGAGAGAGTGACACCAGTGCAGCCCAAATTCCTGCAGACAAGAGCACTGCAGCTACTGACTAGAGAATACACTGCCCTTGTATGCTGGTATTTGCACGAAGCACATTAACATGGTCAATTCAGAACTGATAACTTCTTCATTTCAAACAAACTTTCATTTCGACTGAAGTAATGGGCAGAGATCAACAGCTCCTCATTGCACCTTCAATGTTAGCTGATGCATAAAATTCATGTTTTATGAAGGAAGTAGACAAGAATATGAAGGGTAGAGGCTCGGGTGCGGATCCCTGGATATCCAGCACTTTGGGATGTCCTCCTAACGTGAAAGGCACCATACAAATGTGATTTGTTGTTGTTGAAGAGGTTTGGTAATAAGGCAGAGCAGTGGGATTGAATGGACACCTTGCTTTGACAGCAAGTGCAGACTTGATGGGTCGAATAGCCTCCTTTTTTTGCGTAATTTTCTAGGATTCCATAAAACATTACTGTTACTTCACACAGCCTGAAGTGATGGGAATGTTCCTTTGGAAAACAGTTTTTTTTAAAAACCTAAAAAAGTTTCAGAAGTTTTACCAGAACATATTGCATTATTGTAAAAGTAATTTGCTCTATCAGGCATCCTCTAGATTCTTGGGCCAGTCTCTGGTGTGGCACTGTCAATTTGTATTGAATTGTGGCAAATTCACAGCCATTGGGAATTGCATAAGATTGACCCAAACTCTTTTCAAACAGGACCTTTACCAATGGGAGAGAGAATTTTTCATCAGTTCAGCCCTGCAATGCTTTTGAGACCAAATTAACAACACAACAAAAAGGTTAATCTCCACTTGCATTTATATCAAGGATACGGAAGGATTGAAAACTATATAATTGCAAGAGTTAAATCCTCTCAATGTTTGCCTGCAATCACTGTAGCACCAAGGATACATTGGCCAAGTGCTTTGTTAAGACCTGAGCCACTAAGCGTGCATATTCAAATAATAAACAAATCTCTGGCACTCAGAATTGCTTGTGCAGCACTGATCGTATTTCATATAATATAAACAATACTTCAATAAAGCAGAATATCAAATGAGTCAACTTGACTCACACTAACAACTTAAGAAAATACAACTATTGTGTTTTAAGCAACAACGAATGTGAGCAGATTTGACTCTGGGGTTTAATATAGGAGGTGGTAAAACAAGCAGCAACAACAACAACTTGCAATTATATAGCGCCCCTTACACAGGGTAGCGTCCCAGAGCACCACCAGTGTAACAAATGTGACCCTGCCATCAAGAAAGACTGGAAAATAGCTCAACTCTCAGGCTGGGCTAAAACTATCTTGCCATTCTTTAGTTGCTCCATGAACTAAGTCATGGTGGCCCAGCAAATACTGGGTTGTCAAACACAACTTTCTTCTTCCTCCCACCCAGCAACTTATATCTCATTCGCCAACTTCACCCACCACTTCCACACTACCTAAAGGCAGTAATACATTACAACTTTGGAAAACACAACTCGCTTCACTTATTGTACCGATGGAAGTCAGCAAGTCATTAAAAAAAATGGTCCAATGGGTAATAGCACCGCCACTGGGGACTATACAACAACAACAATTACATTTACAGAGCGCATTTCACTTCGGGAGGACATCCCAAAGCGCTGAACAGTCAGGTGTCGGGGCCCGAGCATGGGGGAGGGGTGGTGTAGGGGTGAGGGAAGACAGAGATGTGGGAGGGAGACCAAAGGCACGGTCAAAGAGAAGGGTCTTGACACCAGCCTTGAAGGAGAAAAGGGAGGAAGCGAGGCGAAGGGACCGAGGGATGGAGTTCCAGAGTGTGGGGGCAGAGAGGCTGAAAGCCTGACCACCGATGGTAGGGCAGGAGACATGGAGCAGGTTGGAGCCCGCTGAACAGAGGGAGTGGGCAGGTTGGTAGAGAGTCAGCAGGTCAGAAAGGTAGGAGGGGGCAAGGCCATGGATGGCCTTAAAGGTGAGGACAAGGATCTTGAACTCAATCCTCTGGGGAATGGGGAGCCAGTGGAGTCGGGCGAGGGTGGGAGTGATGGGGTCACGGAGCCTGGTGTGTGAGAGGACACGAGTTGCAGAGTTTTGGATGATCTGCAGCTTGTGAAGGGAAGAGTTGGGAAGGCCAATGAGGAAGGAGTTCCCGTAATCGAGCCTTGATGTGATGAATGCGTGGGTGAGGGTTTCGGCAGCCTGAGGGGTGAGGCAGTGGCGGAGTCTGGCAATGTTGCGGAGGTGGTGGAAGGCAGTGCCGGTCATGGCGTGGATGTCGGGGAGAAAGGACAGTTCAGGATCGAACAAGATACCCAGGTTCCTGACTGGCTTAGTGAGGTAGAGTGTGCAGCCGCGGAGGCCGATGCTGCCAGCGCCTGAGGTGTGGAGGCGCTGGCGCGAGCCAATCAAGCGGGCCTCGGTCTTAGTGACGTTGAGTTGGAGAAAGTTGACCCTCGTCCAGGACTTGATGTCGGACAGGCAGTCGGTCAGGACACCAGTAGTCCTGGAGTTCAGGGCCGAGGCAGAGAGGTAGAGTTGGGTGTCATCCGCATACTCCACGTCTGCGGATGACGTCACCAAGGGGAGCATGTAGAGGGTGAAGAGGAGGGGACCGAGGACAGAGCCCTGAGGAACACCGCACAAGACGGTGCGGGGGCTGGAGAAGAAGCCGTTTGCCGCAACCAAGCGGAGGCTGTGTGAAAGGTAGGACCTGAACCAGTCAAGGACAGAACCTTGAAGGTTGAGATGGGAGGAGAGGCAGTGGAGGAGGATTGAGTGGTCCACGGTGTCAAAGGCAGCAGAGAGGTCGAGGAGGACGAGGGAGCGCTGGTCACACATGGTCAGGATGTCGTTTGTGCCCTTGACCAGAGCAGTTTCCATGCTGTGGGCAGCACGGAAACCTGATTGGAGGGGTTCATGGAGGGAGTGAGAGGAGAGGAAAGAACAAAGCTGGGAAGCAACGGCTCTCTCCAGGACCTTTGATGGGAAGGGGAGATTTGAGATGGGCCGGTAGCGAGATAGCTGTGATGGGTCAAGGGAAGGTTTCTTCAAGATGGAGGTGATAATGGGTGTTTTGAGGCATGAGGCAACATCTCTGAATGCCAGTCTGTGCTGATTTAGTGGATCTCAACCAGGCAAGTGGTTCCTCAAAAACACTAGTTCTTTCCCCAACCTCTTTAATGCACATAAAAATATTCAAAAAATCTGTTTGCTTTTTACTGAGGAGCAACATTAACACCTACCAACATGAGCACTCATTTGGTATCGCGCCCTTCACATTGGGATCGTTCTGAAGTGTTTCACAGAATATAAAGTAAAGTGACTGAGGGTTTTGTGGGCTAATCATGTACTGTAATCCTCAGAATGAGGACCAGCAATGGAAGCACAATAGGACGAGTGGTAATCACATTGGGTTTTATAGAAAAAAAAGGCTTTTACTGCTGAGAATTTTTTTTTAAAAAAAGGTCTATGAAAATAGTGAAGCTATTCAACTTTTCACATGCTGCAATGCTGTGCCTGTGTTAGATCTTGGCCACAGACAACTAATTGTATTCTCTTTGCTCCAAATACCAATCTTCCTAAGCAGGGAATAGAAGACAATAAAGAAAACAGCAGCAATTTATTTATAGAGATAATACGAGGCACTCAGCCACTCTGTACAGTGTAATTTCAGTACTCAGGACAGTATAATTTCATGTCAACAATGCAGGCAGCACAAATGCAACTTGCCAGCATTTGGCTTCTGATCTTCATGAGCAGGGGGAAAAAAAAGCACATCGCAGGGAAACTTATCAGACATATTTTATCTTTGAAAGGTTTACTTAAAGTGAAAAGGATATGGTCACCTTCTGACGTTAATTCTCTAATTACCAATATTAAATCTAAAATTCTCAATACATACAAGAATATCAAACTTAAATTGTCATGCAAGAATAGAGCAATTTTGGAAACACAGGAAATTGTTTCAAAAAGCTTATTCACTCACAAATAATCTTACACAAGGATGCTTCCAATGAAATACAATGCATACAATGTACATTGGCAACTAAGACGATTATGTTTCCTCAAGCAGGATTCTTAGTTAAAAACATATTGCAAAAACACATTGTCAACACACTCAATTCTTCAAAGATTCAATATAACATGATTTAGAAATTCCTCATTGAACAAGGTAAAGCACATGTCAGTTTTCACATCATTGCGGGTACTGAGTACTTACCCGTACCAAACTCTTGGGTCATTTGGGAGGGAATGGTTTATTGCCCTGTGTGCTGCAGCTTTCTTTTTATTCAGCACAAACTCCTGAAGTCTCAGTTTCACTTCTGTGCTTGCTACTGCACCTAGAAAATGGATGAGGTTTTCAGATTAGCACAGAAATTCAATTTAAAACCATCAGGAATATTGGATCCAATTTGGATTTATAATAATAATACTTACATTTGATGTCGAGCCTGATCACGTCTACAAGACGTCTCAAAGCACTTCACAGAATATACTGTAAAGTGAATTAACTATATTTTGTGGACGAAACGCAGCAGCCAATTGTGCACAGCAGTGTCCCATAAATAATCATGAATTGAGTGACCAATTTTTTTTAAGGAATTATTACCCCCGAAAAGCGATACGGCAATCAACTAATAACCAGGTTCCCACTTACTGCTAGGTAAACAGAGGCGTGTGGAATAAGGAAACTTGTCCAACGTTTCGCCCTGCCGGGAATCAAACCCAGGTCTCTTGCTTGCAAGGCAAGTGCTTTAACCACTCAGCTACAGAACTCCAGTAAAGTCACAGTAAACTGCATCTGGCAGTTTATTCCCCATCTTTTAAATCCCTCCGTGGTCCTACCCCACCCTACGTCTGCAAACTCCTCAAACCCTACCCTCCCTCGCCCCACCTGCCCCATCATTGGCAATTGGTTTGTCAGCACATCTGCCCCCAATCTCTGGAACTCCATTTCAGAGTCCCTTTTGCTTGCCTCCTTCGATGTCCATCTCAAGATCTTCCTCTTGACCACATTCGGCTATCTTTTCCCCTTCACCACTACCCCAAGCTCAACTGCATTCCTGGACTGTCTAGCACCTTGCAACATCTTTTCAGCATGAAAGGCACAATACAAGTTTAAATTTGTATTTATATTGTACATGTGAGAAAATACGTTTACAGCAAAGCATTATGAGGGTTCATTTCTGTAATAATAATCCTTGCATTTGATATAGCGCCTTAACACATCTTCGAGACGTCTCAAAGCGCTTCACAGAATGTAGTGTAAAGTGAATGGATTGCATATTTTGTGGGCGAGATGCAGCAGCCGATTGCCACAAATAGTCGTGGATTGAAGTGACCAATTTATTATTATTATTATTTTTTTGAAGGAATTATTACCACTAACCACAACAAAATTACATTTGTAAACTCCTCACAAATGTAGGACGATGTCCCAAGGTGCTGAACAATCGGGTATCAGGACCCGAGCGTTGGGGAGCAGAGTTGGGATGAGGGAGGACAGAGAGGTCTGAAGGCACAGTCGAAAAGGAGGGTCTTGAGTCGTGCTTGAAGAAAGCCAGAGAGGCAGGAAGGCAAAGGGATTGTGGAATGGAGTTCCAAAAGGTGGTGGCAGAGAGGCTGAAAGCCCGGCCGCTGGTGGTATGGCGTATCGGGCGGGAGACACGGAGCAGGCCGGAGTCTGCTGAGCGGAGGAAGTGACGGGTTAATGGGCGTCAGCAGGCCTGAGAGGTAGGAGGGGGCAAGGCCATGGAGGGCCTTGAAAGTGAGGACGAGCATTTGAAATTCTATCCTCTGAGAGATAGGAAGCTAGTGGTGCCGGGCAGGGAGTGGTGATGGTGTCATGGAGCCTGGTGCGGGAGAGGACAAAAGCTGCAAAAAGTTTTGACAACCTGAGGGCTGAGGCAGCGGCAGAGTTAGGCAATGTTGTGGAGGTGGGGGTAGGCAGAACAGATCATGGCATGAATATGGGGGAGAAAGGACAGTTGAGGGTCGAACAAGATGCCCAGGTTCCTGTGGCTTGGTGAGCTGGAGTATGCATCCATGGATGCTGATGCCTTCAGTGCCTGATGTGCGGAAACACTGGTGCAAGCCAATCAGGAGGGCCTCGGTCTTAGACTGACATTCAACTGTAGAACATCCAGGACTTGATGTTTGACAGACATTCTTTCAGGACGTCAGTTGTCCTGGAATCAAGTGTGGAGGCAGAGAGGTAGGGTTGGGTGTCATCCACTACATGTGGAAGTTAACCCCACATCTGCGGATGATGTCACCGAGAGAGAGCATGTAGATGATGAAGAGAAGGGAACCGAGGACAGAGCCTTGAGGAACACAGCCCACGTCTGTCCTGGGGCTGAAAGAGAAACTGTTGGCGGAGACAAATTGGAGATGATGTGAAAGATAAGACCTGAACCATTCAAGGATAGAACCTTGAAGGGATGGAGTGGTCCACAGTATTGAAGGCAGCAGTGAGTTCGAGGAGGATGAGGAGGCAGAGGGAGCCTGGTCACAGATGGGCACTGAGAGAAACAACCGGGTTTTCCTACTTATTGCGAAGCAAACAGGCGTGTGGCATAAGAAAACTTGCTCAACCCTTTGCCTCGCTTGCGAGGTGAGTGCTGTAACCACTAAGCTACAGTAATGCATCATTTAATACATCAGTCACATTATAGAATAGGTACAAATCAAACGATTTCCCTCTTCCGCTACCCCACCACCCCACCAAGGATTAAACAAAAATATTTTAGTACACATTCAATACGACTGCTCAGCCCCTGGAGTTAAAGGCATTCCAGATTTCCTCGGATACACAGTGGACTCCCAGACAGATGACATCAGGACTCCAAGGAGACTAGGGAAAAGAAATGAATACTAGGAAGAGAAATGAATAGAGGGCTTGCTGCACTTGGATCAATATTGGAATATTCAGCATTGAAATCCATCCAAAACAAAAGTGTGGACTGAATATATTATGAAAGAATGCAAGTCATATGAAATGTCACTTGGACAAAGAGTATCCCAAACACTGCCTTCACATATGGGTCCCCTTTGTGCATGTTTGAAAAATATGTCAAGGTAGACATATGAAGCCCAATGATGCAGAGAAGCAACACAATTACAATTCTTCAAAACATCTGGAGGTAAAACAATGCAACCAACGCAACAGAGCAAAAAGCTGTGAATTATACAGAGATACAGCTCATCGATTATTATATTTCCCTCATCTTGTTCAAGGTCCATTTCAAGACCTCCTCTGACTGTGCATTCAACAACAAGATTACATTTGTATAGCGCCTTTCACATCGGGAGGACAGAGTACAGCATTTCAGACCTGAGCTGGGGTTGGGGGGGATAAGGGAGATGAGGGGAGGGGAAGGGGGTTGGCCGATGGCATGGTCGAAGAGGAGGGTCTTGAGGCGGGACTTGAAGGAGGCTAAGGAGGGGTCGAGGCAGAGTGACTGGGGGATGGAATTCCAGAGGTTGGGGCCAGAGTGGCTGAAGGCTCTCCCGCCAACGGTGGGGCGGGTGGGTCGGGGGATGTGGAGCAGGCCAGAGCCGGTTGAACGGAGGGAACGGGCGGTTTGGTAGGGGGTTAGGAGGTCACAGAGGTAGGGTGGGCGAGGCCATGGAGGGCTTTGTATGTGAGGACCAGGATCTTGAACTGAATCCTCTGAAGGATAGGGAGCCAATGGAGTCGGGCGAGAGTGGGGGAGATGGGGTCACGGAGTTTGGTGCGGGAGAGGACACGGGCTGTAGAGTTCTGGATTATCTGCAGCCTGTGGAGGGAGGAGTTGGGAAGGCCGACAAGCAGGGAGTTTGCATAGTCGAGCCTGGAGGTGATGAAGGCATGAACAAGAGTTTCAGCGGCCTGAGGGGTGAGGTAGTGGCGGAGTTGGGCGATGTTACGGAGGTGAGGGAAGGCAGAGCGGGTCATGGCTTGGATGTGGGGGAGAGAAGACAGTTCATGGTCGAAGAAGACACCTGGGTTCCTGACTGTCTGGTGAGTTGCAGTGTGCAACCATAGAGGTTGATGTTGCCAGAGCCTGAGGTGCTGAGGCGCTGGCGCGAGCCAATCAGGAGGGCCTCAGTCTTGTTCACATTCAACTGTAGGATATTTGCCCTCATCCAGGACTTGATGTCCGACAGGCAGTCTGTCAGGACAGCAGTGGTCCTGGAGTTGAGGGTGGAGGCAGAAAGATAGAGTTGGGTGTCATCCACATACATATGGAAGTTGACCCCATGTCTGCGGACGATGTCACCAAGAGGGAGCATATAGATATTAAAGAGGAGAGGGCCAAGGACAGAGCCCTGGAGGACGCCAGATGTGACAGTTCGGGGGCTGGAGGAGAAACCATTAGAGGCAACAAAGTGGAGACGGTGAGAGAGATAAGAATCGAACCAGGCAAGAGCAGGTCCGTGAAGATTGAGTAAAGCGGAGAGGCGGTGTATGAGGATGGAGTGGTCGACAGTGTCGAAGGCGGCAGAGAGGTCGAGGAGAACAAGGAGGCAGAGGGAGCCCTGATCACAGATGTTCAGAATGTCAGTAGTGACTTTGACCAGGGCTGTTCCCATGCGTGGGCAGCGTGGAAGCCGGATTGGAGGGGTTCAAAGAGGGAATGGCGAGAGAGAAAGAAGCAGAGCTGGGACGTGACGAGTCGTTCTAGGACCTTGGAGAGGAATGGGAGGTTAGAGTTGGGGTGGTAGCTGGAGAGGAGGAATGGTTCCAGGGAAGATTTTTTCAGGATGGGGGTGATGACGGCTGTTTTAGTGGGGTGGGAACTGAACCGGTGGACAGGGAGAGGTTGATGACATCAGACAGGAGAGGGGCCAGAAGGTGGAGCTGGGAGACGAGGAGAGAGGTGGGGATGGGATCGAGGGAGCAGGTGGTGATTCAGTCATCTTTCCCCATCCACCTTAGCTCTGGTGCCCAGTCTACATTGTTAATTGGCTGGGACATCCTTCCGAAGTGAAAGGCATCTACTCACATGCAAATATGTGTCATATGTCGTCTGAAAGGTAATCTGTTTACCTTTTCACCAATTTTGAGAAAGACTGAAGGGTTAGTCACAACAACTTTTGAGAACTTTCTTTTGGGGGAAGGGGAGCGAGAAAGCTGTAGAATAAGGTTAACTGAATATATTTACTTTCATTGAAAAATAAGAATGCACTCCTTTTGATGGTAAACATTTAAATACCCGAGCTGATTTCAAATGCCACAACCACTTCCTAATGTCAAGGTCCGTTCTGAGTTTGTTCCTCATTGAAGGAGAAAGGCCATGAAACCCATGCTACCAGTTTTTTTTAAACATTACATGCGTCGAGTGTTTGGCTAAATTTA